ACAAAACATAATATAGCCCAAGTGACAGAGCCCCTGCCACCCACATGGGAGATCCAGATGAAGTTCTGGACCCCTGGCTTCAGGTTGGTACCATACCAGGCTATTGCTGGCATTTAGGAAGTAAATCAGCTGATGACAGCTCTCTCTCACTCTGTTGCATTGTCTTAAATAAGTCTACATTAAAAATCACATTAAAAATTATTTCTGAGATCTACAAAATGAATCTGTGCTATTTATGTTTTAATGTTTCAGAAACTATATTTCTGTAAGATTGCCAAATAAAAGTGTTTCTTAAAATGGGATGTTAAATTATTCAGACATATTCTCACAGTTTTGTCAAGCATTTAAGCACTTAGGAAGAAATACACATGCCCTTTACAGAAACTCTCCATTTTTACTTACAAAGCATGAATTCTTTGCAATGCCGCAGCAATCAATTTTTGACATATAGTTTTAAAACATCTTCTTTCACAAGACCCACATTTGTGATAAATTTTGTCACTTGTTTTTGCATACATATCTACAAAGTGTCCTCTCTTCCAAACACTTCTACGACCATCAATTTTCAAATGCCACTGTGTTCTTTTGCCCTCTGGTGGCTAAGCTGAGACCTTCCTAGCAACTTGTCAGCTCACAGGGCTCATGTTTAATGCCCTGGGGGTAAACATTTAGCTCTGGACCCTCTGCCTCTCATCAGGGCATGGCCTGATGGCTCCAGTTCATGAGCTCCATGCTCACACACCTTTTATTGTGCACGCCTGTATGATTACACACCACAGTATTCCTGAATTGTCTCTACTACACAATTAAGAAAGCTGTCACCTCAGTGAGTCAGCATAAGGCGTGTCTTTGCCTCTTGGCTGTTCATTGCTTGCTGGGTGTCTGTCTGGTTTCCACCGCGTGACTGTCAGCTGGATGCAATGGAGGTGGAAACCAGGTCCCCTGCCCCAGCCCCTTGTGGGGTGCTTGCTGGGACCCTGGCATTGGCAGGTGTCCTTTAGCACATCACAGTGGTCAAGAAAGGGCTACCTGGCCTGGGTCAGGGCAGCAGGAGCAGGAGGTTGAGGCCGTTTCTCTGGGACCTGGAGAGACTCCCCACTCTCCCCTGGAGTTCTCATCAGTGTGGTGACCGTTGCTTTGGGGTTTCCCCTTCCTAATTTATATCTAGATTGAAATCTGCACTTGCATCTGTCTCCTGGTTATTCTGAAATGCCTGTTATTTCTGAGGGGAAGGGGCACTCTTTGCTGAGCTGTATTCTGTCTCCCCTCACCACCACCACCAAGGGAGAGTATATGGAAATGGTTAAATTTCGCTGGCTGCTATTATCCTATGGGAATGGTGCATGCTCTTCTGATTTTGTTTTGTTTGCTTCTCTCAGCAAGGTAGAAAACAGGATGGTTGAATGAGGTTGAGGAGGAGAGAGGAGAATGTGTGAAGGGAGCTGGTCATAGGAACGAGGCAGGGTGACTGCCTAGTAGCAGCAAGGCACTGTTTGAGGTTCACAGTGGTAAATGTGAAGTAAGACAAGTCAGCGTGACTGTGGGCTTTTCTCCAGCCAAGTTCAGCTGCATCCTGCTGTGGTCTGGCTAAATGAGTACACAGAAATGTGCAGAGATGAGAGAAATGTTTCAGACTCTCCCGAAAAACAACAAAGTGGGAAGGCTGGCTGTGTGCTTGAACCAGACGAGGGAGCAGCTGCATGTGCACCGTCCCCAACGTCATGGATGTTTTTCGTGCTCACACTGAAAGTGACTGGAGCAGGGAAAACTACTTAAGAAAAATTCTGAAGTACATAAGAAAAACTGAACGGGCAGGAATATTCAGGAATCCCCTACTCTGACAATGTGACACAGCAAATGATATGAACTTGCTGTACATAGATGAAAAACATTTTTGAAAGAAAATGACCCTTAAATATCTGAAACGTTATTTAGTTCCATTCACATTAAAAGTGGATGGAAGCATTTAAAAATATTATTGCTAGGGGCCAGCACGGTGAGGCAGTAGGCTAATCCTCTGCCTTACAGTACTGGCATCCCAGATGGGCATCGCATTGTGTTCTAGCTGCTCCATTTGCAATCCAGCTCTGGGCTAGTGGCCTGGGAAAACAGCAGAGGATGGCCTAAGTCCTTGGAACCCTGCACCCATGAGAGAGACACAGAAGAAGCTCTTTGCTCCCAGTTTCAGCTCAGCTCAGCTCTGACCTTTGTGGCCATTTAGAGAATGAACCATTGTATGGAAAAGCTTGCCGTCTTACCTTCTTTCTGGAAAGCCTGCCTTTCAAATAAAAATAAATAAATATTCAAAGGATATTATTGCTTACCTATTTGCTTTGCAAAGCTCAGAAGGTTTACCTGCATAGCAGATAAAGTGGCTGTCTGTGATGCCAGTATCCCATATGGGCACTAGTTTGATTCCCGCTGGCTTCACTTCCGACCCAGGTCCCTTTTAACATGCCTGGGAAAGCAGTGGAAAATGACCCAAGTGCTTGGGTCTCTGTGCCCATGTGGGAGACCTGGAAAAAGCAAACCAGTGAATGGAAGCCCTTTTTCTCTGTCTTTTCCTGTCCTTCTGGAACTCTGACTTTCAAAGAAAGAAATACATGTATATATTTTTAAGAGCTTGTTAACACACTCTGTTGTGAGACTGAAGGAAAACCAGTACCACTGTATGTGAAATGCTTTTGTGTAAGAAAGGAAGGAAAATTAGAATGTTTGCTTATTTTATTAGCCAAAAGCTAAAACCCTGAAAGAACAGATCAGAAATTCATAAAAGCAGTTTCACAGAAAGTACAGGAAGCAGGAGATGAGAAGATAGAGATGAAACTGGCATTTCTCTAAATATATTGAGCAATGTCAATATTTTCCCAAATTAAAAAAAAACTAGAATATAAAATAAAAATCAAAGCAAACACTCACATTAGGAACAAATGAACTCAAGGTGAATATCAGATTGAGGAACCTCATACCTCCTCCTGTGGGAGTTTCAATCGTGTGAAAGAGGCTGTGAAAACCAGCATGGCCTGTGTCAATAATCCTGTTGTCTCTCTTTGCCCCACTAAACAGATACCACGTGGTGGGATCCCTGTCTGGTTCACTGATGCAAACGGCCTCCAACACGGCTGGCACACTGTAGATGCTCCCTAACTGCTTGGGGGTGAATGCCATTCCTGTGAGCAAGGAGATCATCCTTGGGCGTACTAACTTGCACGCCTTGATGCTGGGGCTGTTGATCTATAGTCTTGTTTGAACCCAGGTATTTTTTGGCAGAACTGTAACTACAGTTTTGTTCTCATTGACTTGCATGTATACCTGCTGCCCTGACTTTCTCTGTAGACTTTCTCTGACTTTCTCTGTATTGTTCAGGCTCAGGCTTTCTTACTTCATTCAGGTCTCCCACATGAGTAGAAGCAATCCAATTAGTTTGGCCATCACCTGCTGCCTCCCAGGGTGTGGGTTAGCAGGAAGCTGGAACAACCTGTCTTAACCATTTTGCCAAACACGTGCCCAAAGTTAGAACTTTTAGGATCTACTGAGCAGATGGCAAGCTTTCTAAAACGTTGGCCAAGAAGAATAATCTTGAGAATAGCGAATGGGCCAGTCAAGTGCTCTCACTGAGCCAGAGAGCAGACAAACTATGTGCTGGGAAAACATCCTCTTCAGAGGCACTGCTGGAGGGATACCCTGGGCAGGTACTGTACCAGGCTCCAGCCACCCTCGGTGACCAGCCAATGCGGTATGTGTACAATGAGATGGCTGTCATTTGCATCACTCTAGTGGCTGGGCTGGCTAGGAGAGTGCAAATTTAGATTAATAGCCAAGAGATGAGGAAGTGGCCCAGGTGGTGGCTACTCTCCGCCCCACTCAGCCCCTCCCATCTCTGTCACTTGTCAGGGCTGTGGTTAGGGTTGCAAAAGCAGGCATGGGGTGGAGGCAGTACTCACACATGTTGCTTCTAACCACTCTGAATTTCACCAGTGCAGAGATAGAAGAGGGGCTGGGATCAAATGTGGTAAACTCAAAACTTTAAAGGCAAGTGTTCCGGTCAGTCCAGGTTCGGTTCCCTGGTCAGCAAAGATGCCGAAAAGCATTCCTCATGTTTTACATATGTATACACACACATATGCATACATGCATATATAATACACATGTACACATGTAATATATATGTACATATGCATATATATGTATACATATACTTGCACACATATAGCTTATATATATGTATAAAATTTATATATATACATACAGCTTATTTTGAGGGAAAGATTTACAGAGAGGAAGAGACAAAGATCTTTCATCTGCTGGTTCATTCTCTAAGTGGCCGCAAAAATTGGAGCTGAGCCCATCTGAAGCCAGGAGCCAGGGCTGCTTCTAGGTTTCCCACGCAGGTGCAGGGTTCCAAGGCTTTGGGCCATCCTCCACTGCTTTCCCAGGCCACAAGCAGGGAGTTGGCTGGGCAGTGGAGCAGCTGGGATATGGACTTGCGTCCTATGGGTTCCTGGCGCATGCAAGGTGAGGACTTTAGCCACTAGGCCATCACGCTGGGGATTCCAACGTTGCCTCTTTTCAATTCTTTCTCCCTTTCATTTAAAAGAATCTGAGCAATGTATTCAGAACAGATGTTGGCACTTTTTTTTTTCTGCTTGTGGCGTCCGCTGACTTGAAGGTGGAAATTCCCAGGTGGCTCAGAGTACCTGCTGGTTTGGCTGAACTTCAAGAACTGACAACAGGTGGCTCATGCCCAGAGAAGAAAAATAACCAGTTGAACCAGTGAGTGAGAGGTTGGAGTGCAGAGAGGGCTGCGACAAAGAGAAGGTCAGCTGTAAGTGGGCCAGGAGACCAGAGGCCCTGGAATGCTCTGCTGGGAGGCCTGTGGCTCAGGAGCACAGTCCACCCGCCCCCCCCCGCCTACCCCAGCGGCAGGATGACTCAGCATTTCCTATTATTACAAAGGCCAACCCAAGAGGCCCTAGTAAGGCTGACTGCCCTTAAAACCGGGCTATTCTTCTGGCTCTTGATTCAGCCTAAGTTCGAAGAGCACAAGGTTGTTCTAGAAAGGGTGTGTGGGTAACTTATCCCAGCATTTGATGTTCCTTTATTCTTTTTTTTTTTTTTTTCCTTTTTACTGGTAACAAGAGCCTGAACTGGTCATGCTTTGGACTGATGCCAGTGTGCCTGGTAGCCATTACTCCATAATACTTAACATTTATGGGTGATTGCTAGGTGCCAACGTTGTACGGAGAGAACTTTCCACGGACATCCTGTTAAATCCTTAGAGGCTGACAACAAGGTAGGTGTGATTATCATTTCCATTTGCAGGTGAGAAAACTGAGACTCTTAATTCAAGCCTTTTGATTTCAGAGCCATTGTCTTCGCCTGTGTTCACTATTGCCTGTCTGGCACGGGTCAGAAAGGGCTGGTTAAAATTCAACAATACCTAGAAGTGATCAGTTCTATGCAGGAGAACATGGGGGGAAATTCAAGCCAGGCCAGGAAGGTAGAGAGGTAGGGCAGTTTGTACTGTTGGTAGAAAATCAAGGCTCCTAAGACCACCAGGCAGGAATGCTCACATATGTTCCTAAACAAATAACTGTTTCCTGTCCTAATGTGTCTTCAAGATGGACATGTTGTGTTCTTTGTGTCACTGATCTATGGTTTAGATCTGGATTCTTCCAGCTGCCAGGGGAGGGTGTGCAGTAAGTGTCCACGTCGGTGTCAATCATGTCATGTATCTCATCTCCTACTCTCCCTACAGTTTTCACTGTTGCTAACATAACCAGGTCCCAAAAGCAGGGGAATTGTCTTCTGATGAGTCACACTGATACGGACACATGGCTCTCAGAGTCAAGCTCCAGGAAGGCAAGGAATTATCCTATTTGCCTCCAAATCCCTAGCTGTGGGACATGGAAGGTGATCTCTGTTTATGTATTGAATAAAGAATGTTTCAACTTCATGAAAGGGCTGTGTGGGAGGCAAGGCAAGGTGTCTCTCTCCCTTGAAGTCATTTGTCTAATTCATTGACCGACAAACTAGACAACAGGGAGGCATGGTTTCCAGGTAATGTGTTTTGGTGAAGCAGTGTTGAGCAGGAGAGATGGGAATGTTTGGAGCTTGGCTCTGTATAACGAGAGCAGCTGGGGAAGGCTGCCAGGAAGGTGGACTTTCATTCTTCCTGTCCACTCTGTAGGCTCTACTATTCTCCCCTTCTTCCCCTGACATTATTTTGTTGTTGTTTTTATTTTTGTTGCTGTTTTGTTTTTTTCCCTGTGGCTTTAAAGAGACCGGTCCATTTGATTAAATAAGGCTAAAATCTCCAGTGTTAGACCGTATAACACATATTTTTTTTCATTTTTGCTCCACTGATCTCTTCAAACAAGCTTAGGAAACAAATCTGCGTGCCTCTGCCATTCCCTTCTAATCATCTCCCCATTTCTGAATGTGGAAAGTGGTCCACACTTTCTATCTCCATCTGTCTGTTGTTCCATGACTAGTTTTTCAGATGTGGAGAGATAATTGGACAGAGAGCACCCCAAATGCCTGTCGTGGTCCTGGCAGGGGCTGAAACCAGGAGCCAGAAACTCAATCTTGTCCACAAGTGGCAGGAACCCATCACTGCTGCCTTCCAGTGTCTGCATGGGCAGGATGCTGGATCAGGGGGCAGAGTTGGCACTGGATCCAGGTGCTCCTGTAGGGACACCAATGTCCTGGCTGACACCTGTTGAGCTACATGCTTACTTGGCCCAGTAACTCGTTCTTTTCTTTTTTTAGATTTATTTTTATTGGAAAGGCAGATTGACAGAAAGAACGAAAGACAGAAAGATCTTCCTTCTGCTGATTCATTCCCGGAGTGGCCAAAATAGCCGGAGTTGGGCTGATCTGAAGCCAGGAGCCAGGTTCCCTCACTGGTGCAGAGTCCCAAGGCTTTGGCCATCCTCGACTGCTCTCCCAGACCACAAGCAGGGAGCTGGATGGAAAGTGGAGCAGCTGGGACACGAACTGGCACCCATATGGGATCTGGGCACATGCAAGGTAGGATTTAGCCACTAGGCCATTGTTTCAGGACCCCACCGAGTAACTCTTAATCCAATGAAATTTGTTTTCTGTCTCTGCTCCTAATACTTCACTAAAAATTCTTTCCCTTTCTTAGAGTCAAATCACTTTATATAAAACCACTAGACACCCTCTAATATTTCTTTCCTTCTGTTTCCTTTATAAATAAAACTCTCTCGAGCTTTATAGGTAACTAACCAAAGATATTTTCCCAGCCTCTAGTGCAGCTGGATGTGGGCAGTTGGCCAGGAACTGGGGGCAGATGTTGGATTTCCCAAGAGAACTGACTGTTCTGGCCTCCTCTTTTTCTTGCTGCAGGTTGGAAGCAGTCTTGGAAATTGGTGTCAAGATGGTAGAGTTGGCATGTAGGGTTGGCAGAGCAGGCATGTGGGGGTTGGCAGAGTGGGCATGTGGGCAATGGGCATGCTACTCTGCCAGCCCCAGACAGTCCCTAGAGTTTTCCATGAGAGAGAAATAAACTGAGGTTGTTTCCTTCTTTTTGTCTTGGGAGTCCTTTATTACAGCAGCTGATCAAGCACCTTAAGAAACTTCCCTTCTATTCAAAGAAGAATATGTATTTATTGTAGAAACTTGATGATAAGTGAAAAGACAAGAATACTAATGGTTCCTGTTGATCCTTCCTATTTTTCTGATTAATGATTCCTACAATCCTGGGTTTGACGCTTTTCATTTCTTCTACCTACAATTTTAGGCATACTCCAGAACTTAGTTCTTTACTCTCTGGTCTCTTTAGACTCTATTGCACAAGAGAAATCCTGGAGCAATAATGGGTTACAGCTGTTCATTTATTCACAAAATTATTCACAAAAAATCACACCAGATGTGGTTCCTAATCCCAAGGAGATCACAGGCAGTAAGGGGAAGGGAAATGTAAATATTAACAAGCACTTTCATTGTGTATGCTGAATATCTTGATGGTGTAATGCATCTGATTGCAGAGGAAGGCATCGAATTCGGGGGGTGGGTCTTTATAATGCTCCACCCACCTTGGGAGAAGATGAGCCTGGGGAAATAAGGTGGGAAGGAGAAGAGGTAGGAGGAAAGAGAGGCAATGTCAAGTCAAGAGATCCAGTAAGAGACATTCTAACTGATCAAGCCAGAACTTGAATCTGACTCCAAAACTCACACTGCCTCTAACATGCAATAGTAAGGCTCATTTTTTTAAAATGAATGACTTCCTTATTTATTTGACAGGCAGAGTGACGGGGTGGAGGGACACAAGAGATCTCATTTCCCAGCCTTTTTCCTCAATCCAGCATGTTCCCTCTCATTATCCCCAGGTTGCAAGTGAAGGAGGGAGATTCGGTGTGCTTCGCTACGGCTTGCTCAGGATCATAGCCCTGGTAGGTGGCAGGGCCAAGAGCAGAACACAGGTCAGCCTGGGTCCAGGGCTCCCTGACTGCACTGCACTGAGGTGGGGTGGCAGAGAAGATAAAGGCCTGTGTCATAGCCCTCTGCGGGAGGAGCTTCTGGGCCAGCAGGTGAGAGGAGGAGTAGCCCAGCACAGCCAATGATACAGCCATGCCTGGGAGTGAGGCTGGGAGATGGGGATTGTTACTTTAGGCTGTGGTTGAGAGATCCAGAGAGCCATCTTTCAAGCAGGGCTTGACTCCTTCCTGTGAGTGCAAACACAAAACAGTGGCACTAGAATCACTTCACTTCCCCAAACTCTCCCTCCCGGATGAATATATTTGTTACATAAAATTTACTGATGGGCCAACATTGTGATGCAGCAGGTTAAGCTGTTGCCAGTGTCATTGGGAAGCTATATGAGCACCGGTTAAAGTCCAAGCTGCTCTGATCCAGTTTCCTGCTAATGTGCCTCGGAAAACAGGAAGAGGGAGAGTGGGTTTGAGTTCTGGCCTTCTGGCTATAACCTAGTCCAGTTCTTGCTACTGTGGCTATTTGGGGAGCAAATGAACAGATGGAAGATCTCTTTATCTTGGTATCCCTCCTTCCCTCTGTTAACTTCGTGTTTCAGATTAATCAATCAGTCTTGAAAATATATGTATTGAGCTGCAGAATGGGCATAACCCTGTAAGAACTCTCAGTTTTGGAGATGATACATTGTTAAAACATGTGAATTCATTAAATATTGTCCATATTTTTTGTAACTGGTATATTTTTGACTGTTAAAGGTATTTAATTTATGAAACTATCAAACAGTCATAACATATTCTCATTTGGGGACCCAGTGAGGCTGCTGTGTATAGTTGTATGTTTTATGTACTGCACAAAGGCAGCTGGCTGATAGGTAAAAAGTGTTAAAATCTATCCTGCAATCCCCATTTTATTTGGTGTAAGTAATGCTCCACATTACAGGGCTGTCTCACTCCCAGCAAGAGAAAGGATGTGCAGCATCCTTCAAAAAAATTTGTATGAATTCTAAAGAAAAAAATTTTTTGGAAAATTTAATTATTTGAAAGGTAGAGTCACAGATAGAGAGAGAGGGAATGGGTGGGGAAGAGAGAGACACAGAGAGAGATCTTTTATTTGCTGGTTCACTCTCAAAATGGCAGTAAACAGTCAGAACTGGACTGGTCTGAAGCCAGAATACAGGCACTTCCTTCTGGTCTCCTACAGGGGTTCAGGGGCCTGATTTGGGCCATCCTCTGCTGCCCTCCCAAGAAGATAAGCAGGGAGCTGGATCAGAAGTGGAGAGGCCGGGACTTGAACCAGCATACATATGGGATGCCAGCACCACTGGCAGCAGCTGAAATCTTCACACCAAAGTGCCACACCCCCTAAATTCTCCTATGGCTAGCAGTGACTGCGGTTCCCATAAATGATGATGATGCTACAGCAGCCAGGTAGGGGTGTATTTTTATATGTCTGCTATAGATTATAAAAAAACCATGGAGGGGTTATTAAATCCTACATGCCATTTAAGATTAACTCAATAATGAAGTCATTATATTATCATTATAAGATCTGTTAATGAAACCTTTATTGAGTCTGTGTTATTACATAAAGACAAATTGCAGTCAATGGGATAGAATTAAATCATTCTGACTCTCAACTTCATAATATTTTGCATATAATTTCAGAGGTTTCACAGACCATCTGAATTCTCCTTGGGGGGTTTTTGGACTGTACATGTACGCAAGGAGTCAAACGTATTAAACAAGTGTAACATAGTGCTTTCCATACACCTAGGCCTTGTAAGAGCTGATCATATTTTGGCTTATAGGCAATTATGTAATACCTGACTGCTGAACA